AGATATTTATTGTTTGAGAGATCAAACAATCTAGTTTGTTGAATAAAATATTCGTTTGTTTGCTCTATTCCAAAAGAGAAATCTGTTTCAACTAAAGAAATTTCATTGCATCCAAAGATATCTTTTTCTATGACCAAAACATCGTCAAGATTATTTCACGCAGAATAATCACTGCGAAAAGTATGTAAACGCTGTTTTTGTAAAGTATTGCAGAATACCACGTGTCTTTTTTTCATGTAATTTCGGCCTTGAAAAGAATTGACGCAAAACGCGAGAGAAAGAGAGGACACTCGTTGAAGAGAGACACTCGAACTGTTTGCACAGCTGATGATGAAATTGAGGATAAAATACGAAGGGTATATAATGATGTTAGAAACTCATTACTTATCAAAATATAATAAGAGTTTTCCAGCGAACGTGTACGTACGTGCGGTGTAACGCACGTAAAAGTACGAAATTCCGGTCACGATTCTTTCGACGATCGATGCCCGTAACTTTTCGAAAACAATGGACACGCCGGATGGGCCGCAAGCGGCAAATCTGTGTCAGATATCTACCGACCTCCGAATCGCACGAGGGCAACCAATTATGCGCGGGATATATTTGGCGTGACCAGTCGACCTCGTCGCGTAATGTTGCAACCGAACGTGCGCGCAATCCCTTTTTACGGGCGAAAAACGAGCAGGTGTGTGTGTGTGATGTTAGCGGGTCGAAATGCGAATTTTTACGATGCGGGCAAATAGCGGGCAAACGAATGCCGCACGAATTTTTATAAAAATTCGCACTTGCAGGACGTTAACTTCACAGACTTCTAAAACGCGGGCCGTTAAATAAATATCGTACGGCACGACGCATGAAAAAAACGTTCTCTCTTTTTTCCCCCCTTCTCTCGCTCGCTCTCTCTTTTTTCTCCGGCAGGCACAGAAGTTTCGGATATGCTCGCGTCTCCGTTGATCTAAACAGCATCGTCGACGAATAAATCGGGCGCGTCATTTGCGTCACACGTGTTTGCTCGATTAGCATTTTGCCGGTAGCAGCGGCGCGTCGCACCGCGGTCTCTCGCGATACTCACAATTGCGCGCGCGAGATAAAGAGCTCCGTGGACGTAGGAAAACTTTTCAGGAGTTCGGGGGACGGACCGGTTCTGCAGCCCAGATGTATTAAATCACGAGCGTAAAGTTAGGCGCTTCAAAGCGAGATCCTAACAGGTCAAAAGGATGTTCTTCAAGGTCACCGTTGCTCCGGGGAGTCCCGAATGATCTCTTTTTTGCCTCGACGATTACTAAGCGAACTTATATTTACCGCGTGATTTTTCCTCATTTAAATCACGTCAGCCTGATTTCGTCATCGTCGGCCAGAAAAAAAAAACCAAACGTGTCATAATAACCATTAATGAAAAAACATTTTTATCGAAATATCGAGAAAAATATTAAATGTCAAGTAGCCGTATGAAAAACGTTTCCGCGTCATTTTTTTGCAAATTTCATGCGGATGAAGTTACAAAACGAGGAGGAAAATCGATGCGTCCGCGAACCGTCGTGACGATCGATAACGGAAGAGCGCGAGGAATTACAAAGTGTCTGATAGAATTCTTAATGATTATTACAGCATACACACCGCGTAACGACACGTATCACGGTAACATCCTTCCTAGAGTCTATCGTGTGGGAACGTCTTACGCGTTGCGCGTGTACTCTTTTTCAGATGGACGATACGCGCTTTACCAGGTCGTTGTGTCTACTCCCTACGCGTACTCTCACAATGCATTAGGGGAGTACACGCTTATGAATGCAACGGACGCATTCGAGTTATCCTTATTAAAAGAGTGATACGGTTTTGTAATGCGTTTCCTTCCGACGGGCGTATGTGTTCTCCGAGCAATAACATCTTTAATTAAGCACGGTAGAGCGAGGCAGATGCAGCCGATGTAAAACTACAATTTACGAGTGTACGGCCGAGAGAAAGAGAGAGGGAGAGAGAGAAAGATGCTGAAGAAGTGAATAAAGATCTACACAATCCCATAATGCTCGAAAAGTTAGTCTATTATTCTCACCAGTGTAACACATGTGTAATTTATTAAGTCACTCGCGCGCAGTGCTGAGTGATACGTGACGAAAATCTGTTCCCTCGAAACGAGGGGTTTGAACGAAAGGAGGAAAGGGAGAGAATATTTCCTGAATCGTCGATTGGTAAATTTGTATCATTAACTAACGACTAATGTCTCGTAATTAATATCCCATTGATATAAAATTACTTCAATGACGCCCGCTCTCAATGCCCGCCAATGCCTGCCGTCTCCTACCTCGTAAACAAGATTTCAGCGAGATGAAATTTTCCACGGTGTAAGAGATAAAGCATGAGCGGGGAAATTATGTTCCGCGATATTTCGCATTGAATAAACGCGTATCGCATTAGCGCAACTAGGCGGTTAGCGCGCGCACGGGGCTCTATCTGGAATTCAATGATACGAGTGCAAAATCGTCATCCTCCTCCTCTTCCACCTCCTGCCTCACCCCTTCTGCCGTAGATTATCAATTTATCTGTGCACGCACTCGAACGTTGATAGCGCCGGACGGACGCGCGGGATATCGCCTGTTTTACGTTCGCTTTAATAACTCGGCATTATCGTCACGGTTTCAACCCGAGACGAGAGAGAGGCATGTCTCCTGCGAATGCACGAATTGCGTATTATCCTTCGAATACGCGCGTCGTTCACCGTCGTTCCCCGTCCTATACACCCGTCATACATGACAAAAAGTGTCTGTGTAAACACAACGCGACGCGCTTCGCGATCGCACACTCCGTCGCTGCAATATCAATTTCGCGATGATTGATATCTGATGGCTTTTTCTGGAAGGGAGACGCGTTCGTGTCCTGCGACTCGCGTTCGAGGGTGAACCACCCCTCCGTCGTAACGCAATTCGCGCTCGACTCTCTCTCTCTCTCTCTCTCTCAGTAGATCGCGAAAACCGGGGAAAACGAAGCGCGAGCAACGGGTGGTGGGTTGGCGAGGAGCGACGAGAAGCCGAAGGAAAAACGCGCGGGAAAAAGTGGGTGCGCCCCTTTCGGTCGCCCGATGTCCATTTTAACAGCTTCGTGCCGTACCGACTCTGCCGCGCGCGATGGCCTCTTCTTTTTTTTTCTTTCGTTTCGAAAGTGAAAACGCACTTTCTAGTTGAAACTTTCGTGCCATGATTTTTATCATCTACGATGTGTCTTACTTGAACGTGGACAATGTACATACAGCGGATACGGCAATTCGAGTATTAGAAATCGCATCGAGCGTGCACGCACCTTTGTCTCGTTACGAGCGTAACAGCGTAAAGATGCGACTGAAAAAGGCAGACCTCTCCCGCTTAACCCCGCGTATGCACGTACCTTCCACACCTTCGTAAGGTTTCGTTTCCCTTACTCCGCCTCGCCAGAGGTATCTCGTTTAAGATGCAAAAGATATGTAAAAGTCCGGCGCGCAAACGCGATGTTATCGTGAGCGCGAGAAAATAATACAAAAGCTAATTTCGCGTCGACAAAATAATTCTTCTACCGCCGCGGTTTGGTTCTCTCTTTTTTTCTTTCTATCTCTCACTCTCTGGATACACCGTGTTACCTTTTGCGCGCTCAAAATAAAATAAGTACCGTATTCAGCCGCTCGGAGCGAAAGAAAAAAAAAGGTAAAGAGGAAGCAGGAGAATCGCAAGAACGTATAAAGAGCGCGAAAAAAAGAAAGGGAGAGAGAGAGGNAAAAAGAAAGGGGGAGAGAGGGGGGGGGGGGGACAAACTCGCTACTCCCGCGGCAATCTGAATGTCCGTTTTCCAACGTCTCCGTTCTCGGTAGTCCGACATGTGTCAGTGAGAGGATGGAAAAGGACGAAGGATAAATAAGCTGACGCTCTCACCTGTCATCCTGTAGACGCTTGAGGTCGGTCATCTCGCGCTCGAACTTGAACTTTGACACCTCGCAGAGCAGGGCGTCCCTCTCGCCGACGACGTCAGCGAGTTCGCGCTGCAGCCGCTCGATCTCCGCATACTGACGGCTGATGAGCTGGTTCTTCTCCTCGAGGATGCTCTCCACGTCGGGGTCCAGAAGGGCGCCCGTCTCGACACTACCGAGCACCGCGCTCATATCGGTTTGTTTACTTTCACCGTGCGGCGCGCGCTCTCGCACGCGCTCTCGCGTGTGTGTCTCCCTCGCGTGTTCACTCGTAAACGTCGCGCGTCGTTCCACCGCGTCGGGGAGGACGTACGTCGCCGCCGCCGTCGGCCCCGCACGATTACGCGAATGACGCGCCGTGAGTCCGTGCGCGAGACACCTCCGGCAGCATATCACGGCCAACGACACGATCGACGATACGCACCGTACACGCGAAACAGCGCCGTCCGGGCACACCGCGATCCGACAGGCTCTCACCGCACACTCGCCATATTGCGAAACGAGCCGCCTCGTATATTCCCCCACGTCGGACCGCGCCGAGGTCCGATTCCGCCGTTCCACCGAGCGCGCACGCGTCGCCTCGCCGGTCGACGGTGGGCGTGGCGCCACCGCGCGGCCCCGAGCGCAACACTCACGTCGGGAATCACGGTCGATGTCGCGCGCAGCCGGTATTCTATCGATGTGGGCGATCGTGACACAAGCGTACGAATTGAAATCGACGCTGGCTCTCGGACCATCATTGCGACGATCAATTATCCCCACGAAATGATCCACGCGACATGCGTGCGCTTCGCACGATCACGGCTCGGTGTGTCTCGACAAGCGTAATCAATTCATATTATTTTGCCTTTCAACTATGAGTATCAAAACATTCGATTATGTGCACGTACATTTAATATATACATTCATCCTATGTTGAAGATCGAAATATTCGTATTTAAAGACGAAAATAATGAAAATGTCCAGGTTAGAAACATATCCGAGCGTTGCTACTTTTACCTTATATTGGAATTGGACTTGTTCATTTCAGCCGAGCTGGACTTGCACTTTTTACCTTTAGAATGAGACAAGGGTGTAAAAACCTGGCGTTGAAGGGAGGAATTTCCAGTGCGAGGCACTGACGGTTGAAAGAAACGGGCCTATTAATTGGCAAGCGGCGTAAAAACGTATCGATCAACGCGGACGCGTGCGACGAACGCGACGTCGCCGAAAGATGGCGAGGAAATGACGGGCGGGGAACGGCGAAGCGAAGATGCGGGGAGAGGAGGGAGCAGCGCTCGCGCGTGGCCAGGCTGACCAAGGCTGGTGTGACGGCAACCTTAAAAGACGCGGAAACGTGACCCCGATAGGGAAGCGCGTATCAAACGTTTGTGGAAACGGCATTGTCGGAAGATTCAAACGCGCCGATACGCGTGCGAGTGAGCGAGGACGCGCGACCGCCGCCGCGTTTCATCACACGAGAGCGCGACTGTGAAAGAGAGAGAGAGAGAGTGTGTCGTCGCGAATCGGAACGTGCGTGCGGCCGAGAGGATGTATTTTTAGAATTTCGGTAACTGTGCTCTCCAAGAGAGTCCCGGCGCCACGGACGAGAGAAACGGAAAAATACAGGTTGTGTAACAAACCCAACGCGTCATCATGTCCGTCCGCCTGTCTGTCCGACGTGGAAACTCGGCGGTGCGTGTTTTTAATGAATGGGCGGCGTGGTCGACGTTTGTAGGTTATACGCGGCTCGCGAGTGATTAATCCCACGGGATCGCCCGAGAGAATTATGTACACGGGGAACGAGCGCGCGTGTTACTCACGATTGATCGCGCGCGATTGATATCCCTGCCGGGCGAACCTGTGCTGCACATCGTACTGAGAATTCGTGGCATTTCGCCCTGCTGCTCGTTTTCCGCGTTTTCGAGCGATCTCGATGCTATAATTAGTAAAAATATTAATAAATATATTTGAGGTTGGGGACGCGCGAGTAATGTGAACGAGCGTGTGTGCAATATGGATCACGTAACGAAAATTCTCTGTTCCTCGTTGATCAATGGATATCACTTATTAAATTTTCGCGATAACAAGGTGGGTGTATATTAGACGTGCGAACGAGCGAATACGAATGCCTCGCCGCGAAGTTCGGGACACGTGCGCGCATAAATAAATCGTTAATCACCACGGAATAGGGAAAAATTCCATTTCTACCGTGATCAATTGAATTTCTCGCATTGAATGGATAATTCTCTTTGTACTATGTGCCTCTTTCATTTTTATCCGCTACACATGTTTTCACGAACATATAGCAGCCTCTCGCATTTAAATAGTTAACAATAACAGAAGTCTTAGATCACGATTTGTTTGTTTTGTCGTCCAAAGGTCGTTCCAATGTCCTTGCGGAAAGTTTCGATGAATATTTCGTTCCGTTTCTTCAGCCTGAAGAGCATTGTTACTATGTCAATTCTTACGTTCACTATGTGTTGATTGACTCTTGCCAAATTCCACAGTGCAACACAAGTGCAATATTGATATAAAACTCGACTCTGTAAAACGTGCTATAAAGAATATATTCTTATAATTTAAATTAACAATAATGAATTTTTTATGTTATTAATATATTTATAATTTTTTTAATAATAAAGACCTGTTGTGTATTCATGTTGTGATTTGTTCTGAAAAAGGGATAATATGATTAACATAGAGTTGTACAAAAATAGAGCATACGATAGAATGCGTCAGATGTTATATATACAACGGAACATTTTCGAATGGAGAAAGTTATACGTAACAACCTGAAGATGAATTCCACCGAGAAGAATTTGATGAATATCGATTTGCAATGTCATACGTGCATATATATATACCTTGAATTAAGTGTTTGTGCTGTGTCTCTGCCATACAAATTACCAACAGCTAATGCCTCGTAAATTTAATTGTGACTGTCTGAAGAACTTAGTGCCTCCTTAGGAAGATTACTCGAGCAAGTCAAAAGGCACGTCCAGGCAACGCCACGAGGAATCATGACTGATATTACTGTCCAAGATTTACAGGAGCTTGTCGAACACTTCTCAAAGACCACGTACAGGACCAGAGAAGCGGATCGTACAGTAATTATCCTACAATATACACGGATGTGTGTTCGCACGATTATCGAACTGTCTTTTGTGTGATCTAACGGAATGATTATCTTTGCAGAGCCAAGCTATTATGCAACGATGCCTGCTGCTCACTGGCTTAGATTACAATTATTTTACAGTCGATAATAGCAATGGCGATCTTTGCGCGCATTATCCTAGCCATCTGATAATATTTAGAAACGACAAGTGTCGTCCGTTCATGTGCGCGAATTCGCGGTCAACGCTGTCCATAAAGGGAAGCATAGGCGACAACATAGTTCATAGCATGTACGACCCTAATAAGCTGAAGAAATTAATGATAGACGCGAGAAATGCCAGGTGTCGTTCGAGATTCCCAGTGCCGGTGATATTTTACGAGGGTAAGCACGTGTGCAGATCGGCGACGTTGTCCGGCGGTCCAGAAATCTACGGTAGGGCCGGATTAGATTACTTCTTTGGCGGTGACGACGATCACCACTCGGTGCACGAACGGATCAAACGGATGGACAAACCTCTGCCTTGGAGAGAAGATTACATGGGACAGTCGATGTTCACAGATTGGCAATTGTTGGATAGAGTTAGATCGCAAGACATAAGACTTTTGAGGGCTCTTATGGTAGACACTATCATAGACTTCATGGTCGAAAAGAAGAAAGTTAAATATGGGATGAAGTAAGGATGCGACACTAAATATCTTTCGTGTATTTGTATGTTGTGTATGGCATTGCATAGAAACAAATGTTTAGAGACCAAGGGAAAACAGAGTTATCTGCTTTCGTTACATTTCACTTCAGAGTAGTGTGATTATTGCAATTGGAAGTACAGTTTTTTTCATGTGTTATTGAAAGGAAAGAAAAGAAAAAGACGGCTCTTTATTAGATATATTTATTTCGTTGAATAATGAAATAAAAGGATCTTGTGGAGGTACATACATTTGTTTTGTTATAAGAAAGGAATATAAATTGCCGAAGGAAATTGCTTACATAGATAATAATTATTCCACTAAGATGTTCACCTTCGTATAGACACAGTAAATTCCCATAACAAGTTCTTAGCATGAGCAGTCTTTTATTCTGTGAATCCACTTTTAGAGACCCTTAAACAGAGCTCTTTTGTTTGGTACTCAGCGTGACTTCCTCGGAGAAGGTAGACAAAGAGAACAGATACAGGCATTTTACTCTCGTTTCACTGCCATATCCTGGATGTGAATTCTTCAAGGAATTTAGAGAACACGATTATCTGCCCAAGGGCCTGGTATTCGATTGGTATCAAAATTACGTAGATGCGCCAATCTCTGTACCTGAAGACTCGATATCGAATCAATTACGGATCAATTGGGATCTATATACAACGTGGGATCTAGTCAAATTAACGCAAAACTATTTAAGACTAATACTGAGATACTTGAGCGATAGTAACGACGGGATATTGATTCATTGTATCTCAGGTGCGAGTCGAACACGTTACTGCTTTACCTTCTAAAGTCGCTGATTTCCAATTAAATTAATGTATTATTACTTTTAGGGTGGGACCGCACGCCGTTATTTATTTCGTTATTGAGAATCAGCCTGTGGGCCGATGGAGTAATTCATCATACGTTAAATTCATACCAGCTACTTTACTATACCATCGCCTACGATTGGATGCTTTTCGGACACAATTTGGAAGATCGGCTCAACAAAGGAGAGGAGATATTCTTCTTCTGCTTCTATTTCCTAAAACATATTTATGACGATAAATTCAGCATACACAAGTGTCCTGATAGCATTAAACAAAACGATCTACAGCCGGATAATTTCGTCATTGCCGGCGAGCCTTTTGAGATAGTGAATCCTAATGTGAGTCCCAATAGTTCGACGAGTTCCGACAACCAAACAAGCGCAGATAGCGAACCACCAGCTGTGTTTCATTCCGACTCTCCCATGGAGAGTCAAGATGACTCTGAAGACAACGGGTACGGACTTATTTCAATTATTCATTCATTCACGAGAATTTCCTGTTATGATTTTCATCGAACATATCAATCTCTTAACCCGACGACACTTTTAACACATAGAAATACTATACCTGGAAAATTCAAGACCTCTCCAAAGAAAGAAGGCGGTGTTGCGGAAGGCTCACGCTCGCCCTTATCTGCAAATCGCACGTCTCCGGTTGGAGTTCCCATACCGTGCAATCCTGGTCTTCGACAACGAAACGATTCGACGTCCTCGACTGGCTCATGGCAGTTAGTATCAGGGACTGGTAGTCTCTGCGGTTCTACGACACTTAATGCTCCGCCGATAGACACCGTGTGGTCTATTGATTCGGATTGCAAGCCCCATTGCAAAACTTGCACACTCGGATACCGTATATCTCCTCCAGCAACTGGACGAGGATCTACCGTAGAGAATATTGACGAAGCCGCACAGTGAGTTTCCGATCAAGTTTGCTTATGGATAATTCGCACATCACTTTGTTTTTCTACCAAATTAATCCACAATTCGAATTTGATTACAGAGCGCGTAAGGAACGGTTGAAGTGTTTACGAAGTGTATTTTATAAGATCTACCCACACATTGGATTTCGAATGAAGGAATAGCGAGACGGGTAGCGTCGGCCTGACCAGTACGTTAACGCGCTGTTAAGTACATGGAGAAAGTCGAAGTCATTTCCACTCAACGCACATCCTTGTGAATAAGATGACGGCTTCTCTGAAGCGTCAATTTATTGTTAACGGTATCTTTGTCCAATTTAACAGTTTTATAAACCGCGACTCGAGGAGGATGAGAAGGTTATATATTATTGTTTCATTTAAGGACGATTTTATTGCTTCGCTCTCCCTCTTTCTTACAAATGTTGCATAAGAGTTGTAGCACGCTATGTGCAGAGATAATTGAGAATAAAACTTGATATTTTTGTATATGTCTACATTAATAAATATGTTACACTATCAATTTCATTTGTCATATGAGATTAGTATTAACTCTTCAGCTGCCATGAGAATCGCTGGTGATTCTCAATTGTAGTTTATCACAGTGCCATGAAAAACATACATATTACTCGACAAGGATATGAGATCCTTTATAAACCTGGAAATAATGACTTTAATTATGCAGTGTGGCACACACAGGGAATACCAATCTTTATACGTTTATACGCAATATGTAACTTTTTTTTAACAATAAATATATTGTATTACTTTCAAATTTGACTTTGGCATCTGAGTAATAATTTTCATATTATATGGTGGCAAAGATCCTTATGTTAATCCCTGTTAGTCACGGTTAATTATGTCTGTATAAATTTATAAGTGGTACAGACTACTAACCGGTAGAAAGTTTCAAGTTGATCTTGACTGTGTCTTGATTATCTTAATAAAGTTCTAAGAAATAAAGATGATAACTCTTTACTACACGTTCTGTCTTTCAAAGTCAATCAGAGATTTAAGTTGAGACCCATAATGTTTTTATAACTTATTACTTAAAAAATGTAAATTAAAATCTTCGAATAGTATAAGATTATAGAACTACTACGCGAATATTTTCATTTGGCTTCAAAAATTGAATCTTACTAATTAAAATAGATTATATGTGCGATATTTTCACATACAATGATGTATATCTTAACATAGAAATTTCTATCATATAATTCTACATACATGGTGTTTAACATGCTAAAGAAAGTATTTTTTTAAGTATATTTAATTATATGTAAAAATTAACTATTTTTATATGTAAGTATATTGTACAGTTTTTACATCTTATGTATAATACAACACAAAGTTCTCATATTTAAAAGAAATATTGCATATACATGTATAGAAAGTTAAAGATTCATTAGATGTATGATTCGTGATGGTGGCACATGCTCCCTGCAAAATGGACATTGTGGCTTGTTACGTAACCAGTCGCTAAGACAATCCCAACAAAACAAATGACCACATAATGTCGCTGTTGTTGCTGCAGTCTCAAGGCATAGTTGGCAAGTATAACTGGTATGGCTTACATCAAGTGGACTAGAGATAGTGGTAATATTCTGTGGCATATCAGTCTGCCAGATTTTTAATAGACATTGAATTATAGTAGTAATCCCTAACAATTTTAATCCCCAACTGACAGTGGCTACTTGTTGACCATATACCTTTAAAACAATAATATAGAGTTAGGATATTTAATATATATTGTAAACTTCAAGTGCAATGTAGTAAAAAATTACCTTTACATAATCTAAGCCAGTGATTCTTCTACCCCAGCTGTAAAATCTACCATATATGTAGAAAACTCCTTTGTGGAATAATATAAGTACAGGTACTATGGCACGTAACTTAAACAGGAAGATATTTAGGACTGCTACTGCCTCTGCTGTCAACTGGTTGTCTGGTTCATTAACCTGCGCTTGTAATTTTTTCAGCATCTTCAGCAATAATCTTTCTCCAAAGATTTCCAACATAATAGCTAGTATTCTCATCTGGATTTAAAGGATCAGCTTACAATATCGATGTCGCAAGTTAATCATGATGTAAACTTTTTTAAAGAAACTTACAGCTAGTGATGGAACTTTGAGTTCTTCTATATTAGCTTGCACTATACCGGTATATTCTTCGCCTAATGTTTGATTACCCATGCCTGACGTGAAGGTGAAGTAAATTAATTTGAGCGGAGTGTTGAATTGAATATATTGGTGCCATCTTTTGTGTAACCCAAAATTATGCAAAATCTCGGATAATCTCTTCTGTAGGTTTTCCGTGAAATCGGCGTCCCGTTGATGCGATCGCAAAATCTCTGCTTGAATCGCATATTTTAAGTTTAATTCGTGATGGAGTCGGTTGACAGGCTTCATTTTGGGATATACAATGTTGCTTTTAATATCAAGGTATTAAGGCACTTTCACGTATCTTGATAGGTTCATTATACTGCAAAGAGCAATGTTAAAGCGCGGAATGATACATGGGTTTAGAAGATATCAATTTTCTTGAAAGTTTATCACACATTTCTTCTGTCTATATTTGTACTCTCTTTACAACATAGATCACAAATTTCTTTGGCTATTGTGTCGTTTACATAAATTGTAAGATTCAAGTGAGCAAAATAAAATGACACAGTAATACGCATGTAAATAAAAGATGCCCTGTTTTATATTTTGCATGTCATATGTATAATCACACTATTTTTTCCTCCATAACACTCGAGTATTTAGATGTGACGCGTTTAAAAGTTTAGACACGATATTGGGGACGTCATGTGAACACCTGCTGACATCCAATAGAAAAATTCTCATTCGAAAAACACTAGGGAACGCTTTTGCCTCTAAAGCCCAATGGATTAAGGTTGGACTATTGATTAGGATCGAATTGAAATTTAGCTAATCAGAATATCGATCACGTAACTTTTTCTCTAGGACAGAAATGAGAACTTATGCCAGGATTCATAGTCGAACCTTAGATTTAACATCTTCAGATTCTATACGGTTCATTTTATTGGCTACGAAGCATCTGAACATGAATTTAAAGAGGCTTTAAATGTACGATCCAACTATGAATACGGGCATTAATGCTATTGGAATCGGATGCAGTGTTAACTCCTCGTTGGAGTAACGACAAGAGACAATTAACACAATACCGTCGACTTTTTTTCAGAAATACCTGTATAAATTAAAACAAAGAAAAAGAAGTCTATTCCGAGCGCAAAGTGAAGAGATATATTGACAAAACGGGTGTGATATCAATAGGTACTTGTACTTTTTATCTGCACTCTAGCGTTCACAATGTGGCTCGACAACGATCAGCCCTGGTGACTTGCAACTAGAACGAAACCGTCGGTACAACAGAACGGTGACCGGCGCCTCTCGGCAACGTCGATGCTAATGGCGGCGGGTGCATACGCTAACGTAGAGGGCACGGCAGCGGCGCGGCGGCATCGAGAGGCATCGCCCTAGATAACGGTAGAAACGCGCAGTGGTGTCGCGTTGTCTGTTCTCGCGAGAGTGCGAAAATCGAGCGGCGGGGGTTACAGGAAGGCAGAAGAAGGCGGCGGCAGAGAGGCGCGTCCGTCCGCGTAACAGCGTCGTCCTCGTCGTCGTCTCCGTCGTCGTCCGCGAGCGAGTCGATCGATCGATCGGTTCGCACCAGTGCCGATATCGGCGCCGAGACACGAGAGCAAAAACGCGAGAGAGCGGCGACGAGAGAAGAAGCCCCCCGGTGTGGCTACGTACATACGCGGCGTGCGACTCTCCAATTCGTTCGGCCAGTGCGGGTATTAATCGGACACTCTCGTATCTCTCGGTCGTTTCGTTGGTTAGTGGCTGGCTCTCCGCGACTCGTCGGTTCGGTCCCCGAGAGCGTTCACAGCGAGAGAGCGAGGAACGGACATATCGGCTTTCTTTCTACACGCGGGCTCTCCATGAACTCGTGACAGTGTGGCGACGGAGAAGCGCGGCCAGAGCCGAGTGGAGTTGAGTTAGAGCGAGCCGGGTCAGGTAGTAGCGCGGCTAATCGCCGGGAAATCTCAGCCGAGGAGACGAAGAAGAGGCGGACGAAAGGCGAAACGAGAGGAGACGATCGGGGCGCGCGTGAGAGACAACGAAGGCGTGAAAGGAAGAGAAAGAGAGAGAGAGGAGGAGAGGGAACGAGAGAAAGAGAGTAAGACACACAGGGAGTAAGAGACTGCGTGCGTGTGTGTGTGTGGTGCGCGCCCGAGAGCCGCCGAGCCGACTTGCGCGAGCGACAGAGACGGAAAAAGAGAGAGAACAGCCGCGGAGAGAGAGGAGGCAGAAGAATTATCGAGTAAACCCGGGAGATACTGTGTTCCGCGAACGAAGCGTGGGGCTTTCAGGAGGCACGAGAGAGGAGGTAAGGACCGGCCGGGTCGTGCGGCTTCTAAAAAAAGATCCGCGGTGGCGATCCCCCCTCCCTTGTCCGCCCGCACCCCCTGCGAGAAGGCGCCGTGCATCGCCGTGGCGTGGCACGCCGAACCGACCGCCGCCGGAAATCGTTCACGGCGACGGCGGTGGCGATGACGACGGTGGTAGTGTGGTGGTGGTGGTGGTGTGATGGTGGTGATGGTCGTTGTCGTCGTCGTCGTGGTGTTGGCGGCGGCGACTCACCGCTTGTTCGTTCGTGTTCGTTCGCGGGGGCTCGAAACCGGCGCGATCGAATGCATATCGTGGCCGTTAGAAAAAAAAAAAAAAAAACGCTCCGGAGAATAGAATTGTGCGGCGCGTTTAAAAAGCGCCAGTGATCGTTTTCGCACGGGCAGCCACCGGGAGCCGAGACGAGTCGGAATTTGTGCGCCGGTTTCGATCGGACACGCCGCTCGTTCGGCTCCCGAGACAATCCGTGGAAGAGGAGGCTCTCCTCCGTCGGAGGGGAACAACGACGGTTCCCAAACGACGATTCTTTCCTCCGCATTATCTCTCCCGGTGATTTTCCCAGCGAGGAGCCGGTGAATCTCTCTCGCTCGCGTGAGCGAACGAGCGAGCGAGCTTGGTCGGGTTCCTCTCGTTCCGCACCGGGCAACTAGCGTTTCCTCTTACGGTCACGGCCCACCCGGCCCGTTCGCGATAGAAAGAGCGTGTTTCGCTCGCATCCTTCACGCGGGATCCCCACGTTGGTTTACGCGCCGTTCTTCTCGTAAACACCGCTCCGGATTCACCGGGGTCCGACGATCCCCCCGACTAAGGCCGGATCCACTGTGATTTTTGCAGCTCCCCGAAATCCTCCGAATAACGAATTTTGGAATTTGTCTGGTCGATGTTGTGACAATTAATAATGAAAATGCTTCGAAATGACCTACCTCAATTTTGTAAAATCTTGAGGTAATGCGATTTTGAAGTGCACGCGAATTGTATATCGCACGCTGAAAACGCAGTGGAGATCCTCTGTGGTAGTCAAGGGTGCTAGGGCTCGAGCGGTCTCGTTTTCTCATGTTCTGTTTTTACAAGGTGTCGGAAAACCGACCGAACCATGGTTAGTATGTGTTTGCCGGAATGTGTTTTCGGAGACCCTGGTGAGCAATGCGAGGCGAAGAAAATAGACCGCTCGGAAAGAAGAAGCGTGTTTTTCCCTACAGGTCGCCGCGTCGTCCGTGTTTAAAATAAAATATGTGCCGCTTGGGCTGTCGGCGAAGAAAGAGCCCAGCTAAAAGAGTGCATTTGTAGAGCTAAAAAGCACAAAGGAGCATAACTGAAAAATGAAGAGTTTTGGGGTCGGTTGAAGCACCGAACGCGGGTAATTTGGTCTTGTTTCTTTCGCCCGCATTTGTTCGCCTTAATCTCTATATCTTGCCTCTGTGAAAAGTTGAGTAAACTCATGTTAACTTGAATCCTCACATTGTGCATCTTTCTGTGCACCGATACAAAATTTGTCTGATTTTGAATTGATGTGTTACGGGGAATTTGAATGAAAATTCACACGCGTCAATTCATCACATTTCGAACCTACGGTCTTTTAAATCTGATCGTTGACACGAATCTCGTTAGTTTAAGCCCGCGTGACGCGGTGACGGGAGAAAAGAATGGGGATTAATCTTTTTAATATCGAAGCAGACGGAAAGAGAGAATGATAGAGCGAAAGCGGGAGAAAGAGAGAGAGAGGGAGAGAGAGAAAGAGAAGAGGTGGAAGAGGAGGTACACGAGGATGCGCAGCGCGCAGGAGAGAAAATCACCGTAAAATGTTTAAAGAGTCCTATTGATCCGACAGATACAGAACGCATCGCATATAAAAATATTGACTCGGAGGCACACTTGGGTTGATGTTGAAAGAGAGCCAACTCTTCTGATCGTTCGCCCGCATTTATAGCAATTTGCCGTTCCGTAGGGAAAACACCCTTTCCCGATGTTTTATTTATAAATATAACGTAGATTAAAAATATGAAAATTTAAATAAAGATAAGATTGACGTTAATCGAGAATGCTCGAATGTAAATGTCGCATTGATCGTCCGGGCAAAGGTGAAATTAAAATCTAACATTAGAATCTAACAGAAGGAACGAAATATTTAACGTTTGATATTAAAACGAGAAGGTGTTAAGTTGCAATTAAAAGTCATTTTCGAGGCAGCTGCATCGAGCAGTGAAGTTCAGCTGGATCAGCGATCGACCTTGCTTCACGCTTGTTACGCTGCTATTCTGGTACTTGAAGATACGATTTTGCGATTGGTTCGCTGCGTCTCGACAAAGATCGCGAAGAACCGTGGCGTTTTAATCCGCAGTCGACTCACGTGAGTCACCGCGGCGCAGGAAGTGACTCGAGAAGAAAGACGGCAAGAGTGTGTCGTATGGCCGGCGTAATGCTGATCGGAGTATTCCTGCAACGAGAAAGAGAGATCGCGTTAATATCACTGAGAAGTAACCTCGGCGTATGTCACAACTAATTCCCATCCCACGAATAGATCATGAATAGAATTTCGAAGTTTTGCGATGGGAAAGCGTGAATTTGATTCGAGCGTGAAATCCAAGGTACCTCGTCTATTTACCGTAATTCCTCCGTGAGATCCGCCTTGCGATTCGCGAATGCGCTTGCCGATTTTATTCACGTATTTCTCACACCTCTGATCGCAAAAAGTATCGCGATAACGTCATTCGGCGAATTGTAACGCACATTAACACGTTGAACATTGTGTGGTCGCCGGTGACCGGCGCTGACGTGACTCATTAATTTACGCGTGAGACGTAACGAACTGTACTTGACTCTCTATCGTCCAAATTATTCGCTGGAAGTTTCCGAGAAGCACGCGATGCACGCGAACGAGTTAAATAAGAGTTCAACCAAAAGGCAAATAGATATGGAGAGGGAAAAAAAGGAAAGACCACAGATGTGCAATTGCATTCGATATCGCCGCGTATCGCGGTTGGAAACGATAAGGCCGGGCATTATTTAAGCGATAACTCGGCAACGAATTATTCATCCTTGAAAGTTTACGAGAAATTTCATCGCGTCCGCGTTGTTTGATCGATGGTCATGCACGATTGTGAAGAAGATCGATGTCGCACTTACGTGAATTTATTTGTAACGGAGAGCGACCCTCTCTGTAAACTCTTTCTCTGTATCGCCCATTTATTTATTCAACGATTTATTGTCGGGATATATAAATGTCGTATAAACGCGATACTTCGTTATCGACGACTATAAATTTGGATGATTTGCATGCTAATATTGAACTCAAAGCCGAGTGGTGTAAATCCTTCGAAAAGCTACAGTTGATAAGTAATTAATGAAATAGCACGCACACACACACACCGCTGATATATATTCACACGCATGGTATAAAATTTTGCGTTAAATTCAATACATTTCAAACGGTCCGCTCCAATTTTAGTGTTAATTCAGCACAAGGCAAATATATTAAAAAGTAGAATACGTTAATCGACACTGAAGTATAAAATGTATTATTTATACGCTTATATGTTAAATATCGACACAACACAAAATATTGAGATAATATAAGTACATTGTGTTAAATTAACATACGGGTACGTTGAAAATTTGACACGAAAATTTTCACACAAGTGCAAACTGTGCATCTGATTTACGGTATATGGAAACCAACGTTATATTATTGAAATAACGAGATAAGATTTTTTCTCTCTCTCTTTTTCCATCATTGTTGAAATAGAGAGATAAGGTCTTTTTTCCTTTTCCCTTTATCTCGCCAAGGAGATCCCTTTCGTACGCTCACGTTCCCCGGTCGCGTCTCCTTCCGACTCCGCATCCGCTTGTTTCACGCTCTTACAACGCTCGCCATTTCCGCTAATCTCCTAGAAACTCGTTAAGCCTATTCAATTTGCTTTAATCGTTCATTCGTTCGTGACAATTTGATTTTCGTCGGACGAGATTTTACGCGTCAGCTGGTACATCGGATCGCCGGGGGTTAATACGATCGTGAATAGATTGCGCGAGATACCGGAAGGAGAGGGAGAGAGAGGATCCTCGTCGACTCTCTCGCGTGTGTAAAATCCGAGATCGCTCGGGAACTTCATCGCCGACCAGCTTTCCTGAAAGTTACACGGCTGAGCCTGCGATAGAACGCGCTGCGCTGTAAACCCTTGCGCGCTGATAAAACGCGAAGCCAAGCAACCGCGGGCGACTACGCGAATTCTCGCGGCTCCACGAACGATCACGCTTGTTAAACACGTTATATAGTGACTACACTGCGAAAACGATACTCCGCTCGACTTTGAACCCGATATCCGCGCGTTCGACTTTACGTCTCGTCTTCGAAGTAGCGTTATTTCCTCTCGCTTTCTCTCCTCTCTCTCACTCTCTATCGCCGTGTAAATACGCTGTTCCCGCGCGATATCACGCTAATTCGGGATAAAGTTCTGTACTCGTTAATAACTCGCTGCTCTTCGCATATTCCCCCGGAGAGAACTGCTAATTCGGATTGCCGAGTCAGCTCTGTTAAACTCGACGAATGCGAACTTTCTTAAAAATAGAGAGAGAGAGAGAGAGAGAGAGAGAAAAAACTAAGGAAAGATTCAATTGCTTCTTTAACGAGCAATATTCAACTTTATTGGTGATTTAATAATTTTCCGTCTTGTCGGGAGGTTTTACGCATGAAAAGGGAGGGTTAGGTTAGCGGCGAATGCTAAAACGATGGCGTCATTAATTTCTACGAAAGGTGGACGTTTCACCGGGAAGCTCAATAAGGACTCTCTGAGGGTGTCGTTACGCGCCATGAGGTTCACGAACCCCATGACTCATTGCGTGTCACGCAATGATGCGGTGTATGGAAACCTATTATTTCTCTTCTCCTCTTTTTTTTTATTTTACTTTTTGTATGCCGACAATGTATTACGGTGCTCTCCATTCACCGGCACTTTCTTCCACATATTTCCACCACTTACATCACGG